GGCGTGAGGGGATGTGGCGCTGCCCACCCCGGCCTGTTTTTGCTCCCAGGAGGCTGCAGGGAGGCCTACTAGGCCCAAAACAGGTTGCACCCGCCCGCAACCCGTTTTTGCTCCCAGGGGGGTGAAGGAGGCAGAGTGCTGACTGTCACACCCCCTGGCCACGCCTACCATAGCCACACCCACCCAGCCGGTCATTAAGGCAGAGAACCAGTTGTTAAATTATTTGAATCCCACCACTGGGGGAGACTCATAAATGTTTGTCGTAAAAAGCATGTTGAGTGAGTTGTCTCTTTCCTTTCAGGGATGCATATATCTATATATCTCTATCTCTATCTCTATCTCTATCTCTATCTCTATCTATCTATCTATCTATCTATCTATCTATCTATCTATCTATCTATTAATTATTTTAAAATTTTGTCTGTCTTTGTGTTTTTAATTAGGCTGTACACTGCCCTGAGTCCTTCGGGAGAAGGGCGGTATAGAAATAAAATTAATAAATTAATTAATCAATAAAATCTATCTATCTATCTACAGTATCATTTTAAAAAATGTACATTGGCAGAAATTGCAGCCACCAGCCTTGTAATACCTGGCAGGAAACATCTGCAACCTAGTTCCCTGCAGATGTGCTGGGCTGTAATTTCCACAGTTCTTAGGCAGCAGATAAAGTCATCTTTATATGGGCAAAGCAGTTTGCCCATATAAAGCTCAAGAAAACAAGCCCATCCTAAGCAGGCAGTGCCCAAAATAATGTGGTTGTTACCAGGAGGACTGACAAACCAGAAATAGCCTTCACCCGTTGCCTTTTGCTCAGCCTGTGAATGCCGGAGTACTGGAGAGGGGATAAAAAAATTCTGAGATCTGATGCAGATCAAAACAAAAAACAAAAAAAACCCCAGCAGCCCTTCTGGTTCCAAACCATAAAAGGCCATAACCATTATCAGAAGCCGTTTTTAACACAAAACGCACTCCATAGGTCTCTCGAGGAGGAAGTCATGTGCTTCCTCTGTGACTGGCTCCTTTTCACAGCTTTAGCGTGCTTCAGACCAGATGTTGCTTTCAAAAGCAAATCACTATAGTTCTCGGGGAGCAATTCTCTAGCATGGAGGCCAAACCTCTAGGAGCAGTCCCTGTGGAATGGTTGTATTATAGAAACGTAGAATCCTATGTTGAGTTCCCTTGAGTGAAATAACCTGAGGACTACCTGTACGTCTGAGATTCTGATGGATTCTCCCACAATTTTCTCTGTATTTACATTTGTTTGTTTTAACTGTTTATTCGAGACCGTTCTAATTGTTGATTTTGTTGCTCCCTGCCCAGAATCATGTGAGATGGATGGCTATATAAATTTGATAAGTCAATAAATACAGAAATAAACAGGAACAGTTAGATCACCAGCTTGAGTTAGATAAAGACACTAGCTGGTGTTGGAAGAAATATCCATCTGCGTTCAGTTCCAAGCCAGAAGGGAGACACTGGAACACATAGAGGCTGATTGGAAAGAGGGTTTAATGGTGAAGCAGAACCACCAAGCACGTGTGATTCTGGGCAGCTGACCACATGGAGTTGAGAGTCAGGGGTTTTTATATCTTCTCTTGGGCTTTGCACTTGAGCTTCCTGTTCCTGTGCAAAAACATGTATTCTATTGGCTGTTGTAGGGGTCATAGCCAGCTCTGTAGGTTGTCTGAGCTAAGCTTGGTTGAAGTTTGGATGATGCAATGAAGGGGCTTTATGGGCAATTCCTATTGTGGCTGAGGGCTAATTCTACCAAGGTTCAGACCTTGCTGCAGGGAGTAATGGATTTCCAAATCTGCATTTCTAAGAACTGGCCTCTGCTTAATATCTGTTTGGGGGCAGGGAGCTGGGGCTCTGAGTTTCTGTCTCCCTTAAGATTTTTATTTCTCTTTTAGGGAAAATATTTTATCCTGCTTTAATATTTCTCAAAATATTTCATTCTTCTAGGAGAGGGGTGGGTTGTAACAAGTGGTGAAATCCAAATTTTTTTATTACTGGTTCTGTGGGCGTGGCTTGGTGGGAGTGGCTTGGTAGGCGTGGCTTGGTGGGCATGGCAGGGGAAAAATACTGCAAAAACTCCATTCCCACGCCACTCCAGGGTAAGGATACTGCAAAATCCCCATTCCCACCCCACTGAGACCAGCCAGAAGTGGTATTTGCCAGTTTTCTGAACTATTCAAAATTTCTGCTACTGGTTCTTCATAACCTGTCTGTACCTCCTGGATTTCACCCCTGGTGCTAACTTTCTACACTGGCTTTCAACATCCTGCTAAGTTACAGCTTAAGTAAAGGCATCTTTGGAGATGCCTCTTTAGACTTTTCTGCAGATATAAATAGAATACTTTATTGGCCAAGTGTGATTAGACACACAAGGAATTTGTCCCCGTGCATAAACTCTTAGTGTGCATGCAAAACAACAAAATAATAATTAGAATAATAAAGGATAATAATTCTAATGATGATACCAATAGAGAAGGTAGTGGAAGAGATGAGAAGGATAAAAGTAATACAGCCATACTAAATGGATAAATGGATAAATAGACAAATGACGGAATGTGTCAAAATGTGATTTGCTATTTCCATCTTATGTACAAGTTCTTTTGGGGGGGGTCTCTTATCCAAGAATGAAGCAAGTCTGAATTTTTTAAGAGATTTTTTTTAAAATCCCACTTTTATTACTTTTTATAAATAACTCGTGGCAGTGAGCATATCTAATATCCCTTCCTCCTCCTATTTTCCCCACAACTACAATCCTGTGATGTGGATTAGGCTAAGGGAGAATGACTGTCTGGCTCTCATTCCTAAAATGGGACTAGAACTCACCGTCTCCTGGATTCTAGTCTGGTATCTTAACCACTAGATCAAACTGCTTCTCTGAGTTGAACTTTCCTGAAAGGTGATGATGGAACCCATCAAATTTGGCTGGACACTGCCACCTTCTGAGAGAACTTGGCTAATTTTATTGACTTTCAAAGAGAGTAAAAATTGGACTTCTCTTGATTCTTTTTAATCTTGAAAATAGAATAGAATAGAATTTGTTATTGGTCAAGTGTGATTGGACACACAAGGAATTTGTCTTGGTGCATATGCTCTCAGGGTACATAAAAGATACGTTCATCAAGAATCATAAGGTACAACACTTAATGATAGTCATGGGGTACAAATAAGCAATCAGGAAACAATATCAATATAAATTGTAAGGATACAAGCAACAAAGTTACAGTCATAAGTGGAAGGAGATGGGTGGAAGGAACGATGAGAAGATTAAAACTCACTCTTCTTATATTAATACAGTATAAAACTATTTGCTTTCTTTCTGCATGCATTCTCCACCTCCCAAGGAAGTTGTCGGTTTTATTTAAGGAAGGAGAGATTCACGTTAAAGCAGAATATTGCATTTTCAGAGCTGGGTGATTCATGTTTGCATCATTGTATCATCATCATCATTACTATCGTCATTTAAATTTACGTGCAACCTATCTCCTGGTGACTCAAGGCTTCTTCCTTCTTTGAAGCCATAGTAGCATCCAGCAGAGACAAACTGGGTTCTCTCAACCTTCTCCCTCATTTCATCCTATGGACTATAGCTTGCTCAGTTTGGGTTTGGTATGTTGTGTGAACTTGGTCATTGTGGTTCAAATGAAGGCATTGCTTTGGGCAAAGCCCCCCAAATGTGACAAAGATGCCAGGGACCAACCACAGACTCTACAACTCAGCACTTCTAGTCATCTTCTCCCTTGCCTTCTACATTTAAAAAAAATTGAAACTATCTACAGTAGGCTGAGGAAGTATTCTGGAAACAGGAAACTCTGCAGATGATTTTGTGAACATGGCTGGGCCTGATAAGGAATTTCCTGATGTAGATGGAGATGAAGGTTTGGGAAGGGACAGCAGTGTTCCAATATTTGAGGGGCTACCACAAAGAGGGGTGTCAGCCTATTTTCCAAAGCATCAGAAGGCAGGACAAGAAACAATGGAGGGAAACTAATCAAAGAGAGAAGCAATCTAAAACTAAGGAGAAATTTCCTAACAGTGAGGACAATCAACCAATGGGATGGTTTGCCTTCAGAAGTTGTGGATGCTTCATCACTGGAGACTTTTAAGAAGAGACTGGACAGCCATTTGTCTCAAATGATATATTTAGGGTCTCCTGCTTGAGCAGGAGCTTAGACTAGAGAAGACCTCCAAGGTCCCTTCCAGCTCTATTCTGATTAGATTAGATCAATCTGATGAAAAGAAGGACTAGGGAAGAAGTCTTCAAACTTGGCAGCTTTAAGACTTGTGGACTTCAACACCCAGAATGCTGGCTGGAAAATTCTGGGAGTTGAAGTCCACAAGTCTTAAAGCTGGCAAGTTTGGGGACCCCTGGACTAAGGGGTGACATGATAGCCATGTTCCAATATCTAAGGGGCTGCCACAAAGAAGAGGGGGCCAACCTATTTTCCAAAGCATCGGAAGACAAGAATCAATGGATGGAAACTAACCAAGGAAAGAACCAACCTAGAACTAAGGAGAAATTTCCTAACAGTGAGAACAATCAACATCTTTGCCTTCAGAAGTTGTGGGTGCTTCATCACTGGAGGCTTTTAAGAAGAGACTGGACAGCTAGTTGTCTAAAATGATACAGGCTCTCCTGTATTGAGCAGGGGGTTGGACTAGAAGACCTCCAAGGTCCCTTCCACCTCTATTATTCTGCAGTCTGTAAATCAGAGAAGGGGAGAAGAAGAGGATGAGAAGAAAGAGGCTACTGAGCTGACACTTCGGTTAACAACTTTCAACCACAGAAGGTGAAAACTCTCCCCCACCTCTCCCCTTCCCTCCCCTCCCTTCCCCGGTCACTCGGCAGAGAGAGGAATCCACCTCATTAGCAGAGCTGCTAATCGTCTGGCATCCAGGGTGATTATCCGACAGGGTCACATGACCCAATCCCATCGGATCTTTCGACTGGGTCAAACCAGAGATCTTCACGTCTGACTGCCGGGGCGAGCAGAGATAAAAAAGAGAGGGAGAAAGCTTTGGTTGCCCGGTTCTTTTGCCCTGATTCAACCGGTTCGCCGGCGTTCTTCCCACGGAGCCCCGTTTAACTCCGATCCCTGGCAGAATTATTGCATCTGTCCCCAAAAAAAGAGCTTTTCAGCCCCATTCCAAGAACTTCCAACTTTCTTCGCCCCTGAACAACCCCCTCTCCCCAAATCTAAGCCCCCCCACGACTTTCGCCCCCCCCCGCCATTCCGATGAATTCTGGGGGGCTGGCGACCCCTTCTCTTCCCCCCATCGCAGAAGACCCTCCTCCTAGTGGCCCCCGCCTGCCTCGCCCCTTCCTCCACAGTCTCCGGATCCTCTTCGAAATCTTGGACGATCAAGGCAAGGGGATCGTCCACATTTCGGAAATCGAGAGCCGCTGGGGTCGGGGCGGCTCTGGGGTGGCCCCCCAAGTGGACCAAGAGATCCCAGCCGGGGTCCTGCAAGCTCTTCAGCGAGTGGCAGAGCCGTGCGGGGGCTTTTTAAGTTTCCCCCGCCTAGTGGCCGGGTTGAGAATTGCCCTCCTCCAAACCGAAGACGGCGGAGCAGCGGAGGAGGAGGAGGCGGAAAAGGGACGCGGAGCTGCCCAGGTGAAGAAGACGAGTCGGACACGTAAGTGGGGCGGGAGGAGGAGGAGAGGAGGAGGAGGAGGCCAGGATTGGAATAATGGGGTTTGAGAATCGGGGTGGGTGGGGGGGCTTCGTTTTTTTTTTGGAGGAGAAGCAAAACCAAGCAAAAGAAATTCTGTAGAGATTCCAGGTGATCAAAGGTGCTTTTTTTTTTTTTCAAGAGGCAACTGGACTTTCTTGGGTTTTTTTTTGTTTTGAAGACGTTTCGCTTCTCATCCAAGAAGCTTCTTCAGCTCTGACAGGATAGTGGGGAATGGAAGGATTTATATTCCTTGCAGACAGCTGGTCGTTTGCATCCTGTTAGTGGGTCCTTGAAGCACATTATCTGCGTCCTCGGGACTTTTAGCTATACAGTTTGGGATGAACACTCTTTGAATGAATGGCGTGAGGGTAGGAATGGATTTCCAAAATAAAAAAATAATTGCAGACTACAGGAACCATTAGCACAACTCAGGTGACCCTGAGGACACAGATAAACCTCCAAGTGCTTCAACGACCCACTAAAAGGATGCAAATGACCAGCTGCCTGCAAGGAATATAAATCCTTCCATTCCCCCTCCATCCATTGAGAGCTGAAGAAGCTTCTTGGATGAGAAGCGAAACGTCTTCAAAGAAAAAACAAGGAAGTTCAGTTGCCTCCAGAAAAAGCACCTTTGGGACAAGCAAGAGAAATGAGAACATCTTTGAGGTGGCCACCAACATCCAGAGATGGAGTGGCAAGAGATCAAAGGAGGACTGGAGTACAGGTAGTTCTTGACTTACAACCCTTCCTTTAGTGACCGTATGAAGTTACAAAGGCACTGGAAAAAGTGACTTTAGTTAGATCATTTTTTATACTTATGATTGTTGAAGCACACACCACCCCCCCATGGTCATGCGATCAAAATTAGGATGCTTGGCAACTGACTCATATTTATGACGGTTGCAGTGTTCCAGGATCATCTTTTGCGACCTTCTGACAATGGGAAGCCAGATTTACCATAACAACCATGTTAATTACCATGTTAATTAACATGGTTAAGTAACCATGTTGACCATGTTAAACAGAGGGATAGAATCAAGATCACGTGAAGTGTTAATACCACTTTATAATGCCTTGGTAAGGCCACACTTGGAATACTGCATTCAGTTTAGGTCACCTCGATGTAAAAAAGATGTTGAGACTCTAGAATGAGTGCAGAGAAGAGCAACAAAGATGATTATGGGACTGGAGGCTAAAACACATGAAGAACGATTGCAGGAACTGGGTATGTCTAGTTTAATGAAAAGAAGGACTAGGGGAGACATGATAGCCGTGTTCCGATATCTCAGGGGTTGCCACAAAGAAGAGGGAGTCAAACTATTCTCCAAAGCACCTGAGGGCAGGACAAGAAGCAATGGGTGAAAATTAGTCAAGGAGAGAAGCAACCTAGAACTAAGGAGAAATTTCCTGACAGTTAGAACAATTAATCAGTGGAACAACTTGCCTCCAAAAGTTGTGAATGCTCCAACAATGGAAGTTTTTAAGAAGATTTTGGATAACCATTTGTCTGACGTGTGTAGGATTTCCTGCCTGGGCAGGGGGTTGGACTGGAAGACCTCCAAGGTCCCTTCCAACTCTGTTAGTCTAAATTCTAAATTTAACAATGGCAGTGATTCCCTTAACAACTGTGGCAAGAAAGGTTATAAAATGGGGCAAAACTCACTTAAAAATGATCTTGCTTAGCAACAGAAATATGGTCGTACATCAAGGCCTATTGGTATGTAATTTTTAAGGTCATCCTGCAGCTTTAGAACTCTTGAGTTCTAGATTAAATCTGGAAACAAAGTGAGATAAGAAGTCTAGATGCACCCTGTTTCTTACAAGGACACTGTTCCTTAAATATTTGATTTACAGGTCTCCTGTTTTGTCATTGGATCTTTGCAAATCTCATTTCGAAAATTGTGCTGGTTTTTTGCTTTTTTTTTTTTTGCCATCCAGCCTGGGAAAATGCTCTAACCCAGATTGCACAGAAGGATTTCTACTGGAAGAGTTTAAGAGGGAAAGTGTTCCTGTTTTCTCTGCGGGAAATTAATTTAGATTGCCTTCTGCTCCTTTCCAACTTGCTGGATCAATAGGCCTGCAGTTGAAAATTGGGAAGCTGACATCTGAGATTAGGGACTGGCAGAATGGATGAGTGCCATGCCTTTAAATAACAGGAAAGTAGGCCAGAAAAAAATGGCTAATTAAAACAAAAAGCCTTGAGCTGGAAGAGTTTATTTTGTGGAGTGCCATCAAATCAGGCAAAAAAAAAAAAAAGAATACATAGCAATTTGGACTGCCTGTCTATGGAGATTCTCAGTCATCCAGGTCATGGTTGTCCCAAAGGTGCTTTTTCAAAAGGCAACTGGATTTTCTTGGGTTTTTTTTCCTTGATAGGAAGAAGCTTCTTGGGTAAGAAGCAAAATGTCTTCAAGGAAAAAGAGTTGTGTTTTGAAAAAGTACCTTTGCGAAAATTTGGATTGCAGGTGAGGTTTTTTCACGGCAAGGGAAATAATATCCTACTGGGGTCCCTTGAAAATGGACAAATACAATACAAGTAGTCCTCAATTTACAACAGTGCATGTAGTGACCATTCCAAGTTACAATGCCCCTGAAAAAAGTGACTTATGACTGCGTTTCACACTTATGACCATTCCAGTTTCCCCATGTAGTCATGTGATTAAAATGCAGGTGCTTGGCAGTTGGTTCATATTTATGACAGTTGGAGTATCCTGGGGTCATATAATCACTTTTCCGACAAGCAAAGTCAATGGGGAAGCCAGATTCATTTAACAACCGTCTTGCCAACTTAACAACTGCAGGGATTCACTTAACGACAGCAGCAAGAAAGGTTGTAAAAAAATGGGGCAAAATTCACTTAATGACTTTTTCACACTTACAACCATTGCAGCTTCCCAGCTCTCATGTGATCAAAATTCAGACGCTTGGCAACTAGTTCATACTTATGACCGTTGCAGTGTCCTGGGTCATATAATCATATAAATTTGCATCTTTCTGACAAGCAAAGTCAATGGAGAAACCAGACTCATTTAACAACTGGGTTACTAACTTAGCAATTGCAGCGGTTCACTTAAAAACGGTAGCAAGAAAGGTCAAAAAAATGGGCAAAACTCATTTAACAAATCTCACTTAGTGACAGAAATTTTGGGCTCAGTTGTGGTCATAAGTCAAGGACCACCTATCTTCGCACCCAAACCGTAGTAAGGAACCATTTAAAATGAGCCAGATTCATTCATGCAATAAGGCCAATCAGTGTACAATGACTTCTCTGATTTTAATCTTTCTTTAAACCATAAAAGTACTCTTTAAATAAATCAGAAGATTTAAAAGTCAGAAAGTGTGACCATCATTACAGGTAGTCCTTGACTTACAACCACCCTTGACCCCCAAATTTCCTTTGCTAAGCAATGCAGTTTTTAAGTGAGTTTTGCCCCATTTTACGACTTTTTGTTTGCTATGCTTGTTACGCAAATCACTGCAGTTGTTAAGTGAATCAAGCAGTCAAAAGTACACATCAGTTGCCAAGCGCCCCAGTTTTGATCCTGTGATCATGGGGATGTTGTAATGGTCGCAAATGTGAAAATTGGCCGTAAGACACTGCCATTGTCACTTTGAACAGTCACTGAATTAATGTTGAGGACATTTTTATATTTAAATCTTCACGGAAAACAACATCTCTGAGTGGGCCAGCAGGGCATAACACAGGCACAAAACAGTTGCTGTCACAACTCCTCCCTCTGTGGCCTCTGCTTCAAATTATTTACCTTGATTTTCCTCGAAATTAAAAGGAATAAAACTAGTACAGACGTGTCAAACATGCGGCCCGTGGGCTGAATCCGGCCCAGAAGAGGCCACGGAGTTGTCTCAGAGACGGCGAGGGACCAGCCCCTGCCATCCTGGGCCTGGCCACGGCCCCCCAGTCAGCTGCGTTGATTAGGCCACGCCCACCCCAGCCCCCCAAGGGCAAACAAAACCCCAACGTGGCCCACAATGGGATTGAGTTTGACACCCCTGAACCAGAGGTGGCATTCAGCAGGTTCTGACCAGTTCTGGAGAACCGGTAGTGGAAATTTTGAGTAGTTCGGAGAACCAGTAAATACCACCTTTGACTGGCCCCGCCCCCATCTATTCTCTGCCTCCCGAGTCCCAGGTGAGGAGGAAATGTGGATTTTGCAGTAACCTTCCCCTGGAGTGGGGAGAGAATAGAGATTTTACAGTATCCTTCCCCTGCCACGCCCACCAAGCTATACCCACCAAGCCGTGCCACGCCCACCAAGCCACGCCCACAGAACCGGTAGCAAAAAATGTTGAATCCCACACTGCCCTGAACTAGCAGATTTCACATGCCTTCAGGTTGTCTCAAGGTTCAGAAGAGTGAGGGAGAAGACTGGCTGAAGAATTCTGGGAGTTGAAGTCTACAAGTCTTAAAGTTGCCAAGGTTGGAGGCCCCTGGACCAGATGAAGTCAGTGTCATGGGGACATGTCAGAAAGAAGGGCCTACTTGGGCCACGATGAGGTGGAAATTGGGAAAAAGACCCGTGATAGGATAAGAGAAGGGAAGACTTTGCAGTTGGAGAGATAAGAAGGAAAAGATAAATAGTACAAAGAATAAATCAACAAGCAAAAAAGACCACCAGCAATCAGCATAGATTAACTCCAAGATTAACTGGGTATTTGCGGGACCGTCTTCTGCCACCGATAGCCTCCCACCGACCAGTACGCTCCCACAGAGAGGGACTCCTCAGGGTGCCGTCAGCCAGGCAATGTCGGCTGGCGACCCCCAGGGGGAGGGCCTTCTCTGTGGCAGCTCCTGCCCTCTGGAACGATTTGCACCCGGACATACGAAGGATATTGGATCTCCGGGGCTTTCGCCGTACCCTAAAAACTTTTCTTTTCCATCAAGCAGGGCTGGCGTGAACCCCCCCTCCTTTTCTACCTTTTTTAGTTTTTTAAATTGTCAA